TATGCTACACAATCTCGCAATACTTATCCACTATCACGTGGAAAGTCTTATGGGTTGACGACGTCGCCAGGGTCAAACCTAGTTTCTTGTGAAGGGGCGAGTACCCCGACTTCAAGAACTCGTGGGAGTTTGAAGTGCTACTTCGGCTAGACATTCTAGACGTCGTGGACACTTATGTTCACAGGGGTCATGACGTTCCGCATCGTCGTACGCCCCGCGCGTCTCGGCAATAGCCAGAGAATCCGAAGGGCCAGGAGCAAAGCTCAGGCTATGACGTTACGCGGCTGCGTTTGTAGACTCACCTGTGTGAGGGACACAGTGCTCGCGGGAGCGTGATGGATGATTTCATGTGTCGCAGGGTGACAATACGCAGAAAGTCGGCGACGCACCTTGAGTTTGGCAAACTCAAACCGATGATGGCTTTCCACACGCGCGTCCGACTCCTTGTGGTTCAACTGTAATTTGTGCAGCGAGGGAAGTTTTAAATGCCGCTGCACCATCGCTCAAATACCTCTTTGTTATCTGCAGCGGTTTTGCCAAGAGCGAGCACCACAGGAATCTTCCGCATTGGGGGTACAAGAGCGTCTCATCTTTAAGCACGAAGCAGAGGGCGGTACATATCTACCGGGTTTTTGAGGAACCAAAAAGCGAGCTCGGAGAGCTTTTCAAATGGCCGGTGGACCGATCACGTAGGCGCCCAACGATCAAGTGATCGCGTTGTTCACTTCTGTAGTGGGATCCGCCGAGCGGAGGCCGTATTTTACATGATATCCTAGGACCGACCGTGGGTAAAAGCAGACGAAAGCCGCCCTGCGCGCAGCTTTCAACTTTTTCTTCTGTGCCTCCTCGAGGCGATTGGCAGCACTACCTCCCCCGCAAGTCGAGAGATCGGGGAACGGACACGGTATCCGCAAAGTTCGAGCTGGGATCACGTCGCGCCGTTTACGCACCTCACTCTTCTCGTCTTTCCATGCTAGGAATGGAGTATCCGACTCGTTGTCGAGTTCCGGATCCTCGATGAGGACATTCGTCACCCGGGGCGGGCGCGGTATGTAGCGATCGATTACCGAGGGCTTGGGATGTGCTTCCCGTGAAGCCGCGGACGTACTGTCCGGAGATGCACCCCATGCAGAAGAAGAAGGGCTTTGCCCGCGGGCGCCACGGAACCACTATGCTGAGTGGTTTGCGTGTTATAGTCACAGGGCTCATTGAGCGGAGAATGTGCAGGGTTTTTCATAAGAACGTAACAATGTCTCGGGCACGCGAGCCTCGTATAAGGCTACAGTTAAATGCGAATTGTGGATATTCACAATTTTGATGGGGAAGAGTGTAACGGGGTTACACGTACCCTTGTATGAAAGGGCGGGTCACACAAAATGGTGTGACCGCACATAGTTGTGGATACACAAGTTGGTGTAATCACACAATGGTGTGGTTACACCGCAACAAGAAGTCACTACGTGAGTATTATGCAAATAAATTAGGTTTCTCTATCTCATTAGGAAAACTTAAAGTTTTAGATATAGGCGGCTCAGCCGCGGATAAAACAGATGAATGTACTTCTGATTTTAAACAGAAGAGCATCATTGCCTTGGTTAAGGTTCTTAAGTACTGTTGGAGGTAGCGGATTGCGATTCGCTACGCTCGTACTGGCCCTTGTATAGAACGTAAGGTCGGCGACCTTAGCTCAAGTTCCTCTTACCATAGGGCTACGGGAGCCTCGCTGCACAGTGAGCCGCGGCTATCGGATAAGATAATAAGAAGCGATCGGAAATCAGGAATTCGAAGTGTCTGTTACAGGAATGAGTGATATTGTGCCATGGCTATCAGAGTGTGCATGTGATTTTGCAAGGTGTTAACAGTTGTATGGTAGTATTTCCTGCGCCAGAGCCGGTGAAAATGAAACATGACTCCCATTCTGAAAGGGCCGAAGCCTAATTTTATCGATAAGAACTTTTTTTAATGTATCAACACTGCTAAGTCATCAGGATTGGGTGATGTACCTGTTGTGTGGGGCAATGGATCCATAGTTTGTAGTAGCAAAGTCCGATTTCGCTCTCATAATTAGCGATTCAGAGGTACTCATACGTTTTTACCCTCGTTTTCTCCGGTAAAGGCTCGCATTGTGGTTTAACGATCCGAGGGGACATTCCCGATAAATTGCAAGACGTTGAAGTCATGGAAAATGTTACGCTTCGTACCGGAGGAGGAGACGAGCTCTTCGTTCGTCATGAATTAGCCATTCAGTGAAACACTGAACAAGCACATCAAAGAAGAAATGGAACATTTATTCATAATTTTTTTACATTTTATTTTATCTTTTGTTACAGATATTTGCGCTTGGTGACAAGAGATTCACCTCGCATGCTTTTTCGGGAAATGTATGTGTAGGCGTGTTTGAATCTCGCCAGGTTAATCTGATTGAAATGGACGACTCATTTTACGACAAGAACCTGCTTGCAATAAAGTATGATGTTCTTATGTTTAGGGTACACCTGCTCGGTTCTTTGCTAAGATACAGAGCATTCGTCGCTGCAAATATTGACGAAGCCACCCCATTCTTACAAACACCCCAATAAGCCTTCATTGCCAAGTATACTTTGAAGGTAAGATCAAATCGGGTCGGCTTATTGTGCCGGCGGATCTGCTTTCACGTCGCCCCAACTACGGATTCTTACATGTCACGATGGTAGAGTCGCCAATTGACGAGGCTACGTATAACGTCTGGGTTAGAGGCAACGCGTATTGCGTTGGTGAAGGCTCTAGGTAGCGAGGCATTTGCGAGCTTAAATGTTCCTTATCAAAGGCCTATCACACGTTCTTACTGATTTTCTTATCACAAGGCTTGCTGTATCAGAGCACTGACACATTTGAACCTCAACATGTGGTGGTCCTTTTGACGAGGACCTCATGTACAAATAAAGCATGAGATATTAGATTAATTACTGCGGAAGAAGAAAGAGACACTGCATAATGAGCGCTATGAAATGATGGTAAAACGTGTACAAGTCGTAAGCACATTTGTGCAATTGTGTACAACACGCTGAGGGGTATCGGCAAACCGTCAGTATAAAGTTAGATGAAATAAGCGCCAGAAAATACCGATATTGCGATCTTTGTGAACCGTCTGAACCATGATTCATCTCGCTGCTGCCAGCGATGCCGTTACAGGTAAGGATACTTCCAAGCTGTTCATCGACAACTTTTCAGTCAAAAAGTCTTGCCGGTGGTCATTATATGGCCCGCGCTTGATAACAAAGTGCGGGCGAACTTTGTCCAAAGCGCTAACCACCGGATTGAGCATGTTAGCCGCTGATAATATTCGGCCAGATGGTCAGTCGGAACATGTTTGTTGTGTGGTTGAGTATGATACAAAGCACATGCTCGGAGAGACCGTGAACCTAAGCGAGGTACTCCGAAACATTAAGCTCGGATTTAATCATGCATTGCGCGCCTTTACAGGCTCAGATTAATTTTTCTATTGTTTGATATACACTCAAGCTTTTTGACATCGCCATGAAATGGCCACGGAACTGATGAATGAGGTCTGTCGTTCAAATCGACTAGTGTACGGTTGAATTTTAATCACATTAAGCGTTATTCGCCGAGATTGCGACGCTTTGTCTGAGATCCAGAAAAACTCAATAGCAACCCGCCGACTCCAGCAGCAGGCAAAGGCACGCATGCATATATAATGCGATGAAGTTTTCTGCTTGACGATGTAATCGTACCTACAAAGTAGTGATTACCGTCCATACAACGAAGAATTGTTTTGGCTACATTTGCCCACTCACCGTCGTTGCAAAAAGTGGATTGAGATTAACGCTTTAATCCCGAAGAAAATGCAGACATGCCAACGAACATGCTAAGCCGATATAACTGACGATCGCATTTTTAGGAGCGAATGGTTTGTGTAGCGCTTGTTTGGAGAAATAATATCGTCCCCGCTAAAACATCTGTAGATAAGCTATCCACTGCTCTTGACCAGTGATACTGTGCGAAGATGATGGGTGTGTCAAAAACAAACAGTGCGATGACGCTGCAAAAAATGGCAAGTTTCATAATCGACCGCACGCCAAAGAGAGAGCCAATGTGCTGTCATAGCCGAACCATCTCGCGACAGCTAGTCACAGGAGGGTTGTCTCCACCGCCACTGATCAATGAGTGAGGGGTGGCTCGCTTCCACATGGGGAATTAAGCGGTCGGGATGTATACCAGAGCTATCACCAGTATCTATTGAAGCGAAAAAATACCCTCACAATATCGAAGAAATGTAAGGTTCATCTCTGGCGTACACAGGGGTGACATTGTCTCTTGCAACCTGGCGCACCCTCAGCCTTTATATTCCATGAAGAAGCTTAGGTTCACCCGGCATAGATCGCTCCCAACTAACAATTAAGAACCTACCCTGTTTCAAGCTCGAGACATGTGTCAGCTGTCTAATGGCAATTAGTGGCAGTGTTTCCAGTCAAAAGTAGAGGTAGTCGATTTTTATTTGACGTCCGCGCCGTTCTATGTACTTTGAGACGTAAAAAATAAAGCGACGCTGAATCGGACGTCTGCTTCGCTAAACATGGTTTAAAAGTTGTTTGTTGGGCTTAGGGACGCGTCTGCATCATCTGGTGCGCGCATCAAGGGTACAACTTTGTTTTTTTGCCAGATTTCATTATTTAAGGTACGATCAAATGAATAATACGAGTTTCACGCCACTCGATGCTGCTTCAAGCGCAAACATCACTTCTGTGGTGACTTATCGGGTCAGAAAGCGTTGTAGCGATACTTTCTGGCGCTCTGTTTGCCCGAAAAAAACAAGGCGAAGCCTAGCACATTCTATATCTTGTGGAGAATTAACTGTTGTACAATTGTGCAACATAACAATTGCACAAGACCATTTAGTAATTTTGATTATTCGTTGATCATCGGTAATGCGTGATAATATAGTACTAGATCAGATAAAATTAGTCCAAAATATATATCACTCTTTGAATAATAAAGCAAACTGAAAATTTAGTTATCAAACCGTTTAGCGTCTGAAAACCTTCGCGTTTAAATGCGTTTAAATACGCGGACCCGTTCGAGTTGAGCTATGCGCAGGGAAAATTCGTTGTCATTGATATCTATACTAAGTTAAGTCTTGCTTAAATGGAAACTTGTAATCCTTGTTGTACTATCAGCCACACACAATCCATATGTCCCAAAATCCTCATCCATTACAGGACGATTCATGAACACCCTTGCTACCTCTGAGCTTCGCTTCAAGTGCGAGGGGTACAAAAGTGTAATCAGTAAGTCAGTCATTGTAGGGTATGTACCCGTTACAGCACTCCACCATCCAGTATTGCTGAGCTTCGCTCTAAGCTCAAAAATAAGAGTGTACACCGTTCATTACTCCGTTACATCCTCGGTAGCGTGGCTCCACATAACCCTTAAGTGTAGCTCTCATTTGAAACTCGATGTCAAGAGCAAATACTGACTTTAAGAGCGAGCAAGATAGTTTCTCAAACAGGATGTACATCAGCAATCGCATCGTTGTATTGTGACGGGAATGTAGGAAAGCTTTTATATGTTTATCTGTCAAATAAAAGTTGTACTTGAAAATTTTCACGCGACAAAAACACAAGTTCATTTACGTACGAAAGCTGTAATTAATCTTATCCGATAGTATCTTCTAAGACCTGAAGACGAGTCTTGAAATACTTACATCTATTCTTTATTCGTAAGTTGGCAATGTGAGCACAACGCATTCTCCTTAAGTCATTCACAATGGCGTACTGCGGTTCTGTTGGCAGCGTTAACGTGCTAGCAATTATGAGCGCTGATCTTTTCGATGAAACGCAAGAGAATCCGTTCCTTCTTCAAAGTCGATCACCATCGCCTTTCAGGTCAAAAAAGGGAGCTTCGCAGCAAGCTGCATTTATAAATAAAGAAGCAGAACTACCCTGGAGTGATACATGCGGGTCATTGGAATACGATCATCAACCATGCGGCACCGGGTTTTCTTTCAAAGATTCGTCACATTCCCAGCCAACTTCGCCGCAAAGCTCTGTTAGGCGCACTGTCTCCCTTGTCAACCCTGGTGCTACACCGCGTGGCAACTTATCGCGTCGATCAAGCAGTGTGTCTGAAATTTCTGCTTTTCCATCCTCCCCTGATCAGAATCACTTGGAGCAGAGAACTGATAAGCTTGTAGACGACAATGATTTGTACAAACTGATCAGCGCCTTATCTCGTCTCGGACTGACGGATGATACTTCTGAAATTACTCAGGACCAGCTTCGAAAGATAAATTTAATCCTTTCGCGCGAAAAAGCGTCAGATCATGAGACGCTTGGATCAGTGCGAGAAGGCTACTATAGCTGCGATGAAACCGACCGTCGTTCCAACATGTCCAAAAGGAGTCTTTCGAAGAGGAAAAGTTCTTGCGTGTTGCGCCAAGAATTGTGCACATCACCTGGGACCGTCCCGTTTCGTACTGTAAAGAACCTGTTGCGCGGTGGCGGAGTCGCTGGGCGCACCACATTGAAAGGAGGACCAGATGCTCAACACTCGAAAATAGCAAGCACAATATCTTCCCGTTTGAAAGTCAATCAGAAGTTTGTGCGGCCAGCGATTCTTACTGACGCTTTCAATCGAGTGTACGTTCTGCTTTCCCTTTTCATTTCTATTAGTTTGATCCTTACGAGTTGCTGGGTTTCATACAACTAGAAGCGTCATGAAGCTAGGTACGAGATCGCTAAAAGTGCAGGCGAAGCATATTACTCTCGCCCAGCAGTGGGATAAAGATCTATGCGATCGCGAGGAGGTCGATTCTGGCATGCCGTCACCAAAAGGTCAGCTCAGAAATAACTCTACTATTACGTTGGACACCTTAGACAAAATTGGTACACGTGCTGCATGTCCTGTGCATCTTCTTGATAAGGAAAAGGCCGACTACTCTCGCGTTAGTGCTCGCGTGGACTGCTATAATAACGTCCGTAGTCCGAAGCGCAATCTTCAGCGCCCGTCCACCTGGCTGGTTGGTGCTGCTCTAGATGCACATATAACATTACATGAGAAGCAAATAAAGCCTTAAACATTTGACATTACGAAGCTACTGTGGTATCCATTCTATAGCGTACTTCCTTTAAACGTTCCAATATACTCCGGTCGTTCCAATATACTCCGGTATATTATACGATTTGTAATTGTCTTAGCCAAAGCTGAATATCTGTAAAGCAAAACACTGATTACTTGATTACTTGTACATTGAGAATAACAATAGCTCTGCCCAAGGCCTGCTAACATTGGTACATGCTGATTGATGAGACAATCGATACTTTGCTAAGAAAACGTGATAAAACAACTTCGATGGCTGCAGCAAAATTGCTCCTGCATGCAAATGAACACCGGCTCGCCTGACAAATATAGTAGCTACCTTCACCCAGCATACGTTTCTCACGCAATTACGAAGAGACTGCGCCAATTCCAGCACCTCTTCGTATCATACTGTTGGCACTGGTGCCTCAGTTGGAATGCTTAATATACCTTGTGGCTTCTTAAATTTGCTAATAGTTGGAATTTTCACACTTGTGCTAACTGACATCACGTTTGTTGAATATTGATTTGAGCATCAATTCGATGCTGGCGTCCACGGTAACTGTTTCCATACTTCCCTTCGCTATGAGCCATGCACATTCCATTGCGTTGTGCCCACTTCGAGCAGCCGCTTGGGTGGCCACAGCGGCGACCACCACCATGTGAGCGGCAGAAGCCATCGCCTTGTGAGCTTTTCGTGCAGCCTTCCACACGACAGCGCACGCCTCCACCATGAGCCTTGCACATGCCACGCGACTGCGCTGCCTTCACGCATCCTTCTACCGTGCAGCGCTTGCCACCTCCGTGAGTAATGCACAAACTTCCACTCTGGCTCGCACGAGAACATCCTTCAACATTGCACCGCCGGCCGCCTCCATGGGCCTTGCACAGTCCACGTGACCGCGATAAGTTCTGGCAGCCTTCGGCTGTACACATCTTGCGACGTTTCCCCTTGATTCCCGATCCAGCAGACGTCGGAGTAGGCGCCACAACCATCGAAGATACGCTGCTGAGCGCTGCAGCTGCCGCCAGCACCTTAGCTTGGCTATCACCATCGTCAGAATAGGCGCTGCTGAAACTTTCCTCACGCGCACGAAGTGGCCTTGCTGGAATTGTTGTGTATTTGTTTTCTATTTGACCCGCCGATGACCCCTTTATGGTCGTCTGCGTCATATCCTGCGAATTTAGATCACGACATAAGGACGCAATGTCCTCAAGCAGCGGCCGAGGCCCACGCGTCGTCACATACGCCGAGTTTTTAGGATTTTGCCTTTGATCGTGAAAATCAGGTGGGGGCGTCGGTAACAGTGCATCTTGTAGCCGCCGCATATCCATGCTGTTCGTGTCCATGGGCGTAGGGGTGTCTTTGTTGAAGTCGTAGGGCGACGGCAAGAGTGTCACATCGGGAGTTGGAGTACTCAGCTGACTCATCCATTCTTCCATCACATACGAAAATGGTGCAGATGGCGCCCCTGTGGGACCAACGTTTGGCTGAGCCGGGCTCAAAAGATTTTGAGCCTGGCGTGGCGGGCGTAGTGGGCGAATAGCGTCCGTTAAAGGACTGCGACCTTCAGACGTGGGTAGAGCATTAAATGAGGTCGTTAGCGGAGTAAGCATACCAGGGGAAGGGAGCGACGATAGTGCAGGTGATGGTGCCGACCGAAAAGAGCAGGCAGCGGACGGCACCGGCTCGAGACTAGGAAAGGCCGCTTCACGCGCAGCAGCATCGTAATCCAGAGGAGATGAAAGACTTACTGCAGGACCTGCTGAAGTAGGGGCCGAAGAGGTGACAGAGGCAGGAGTGAGACGTTCATACTTGACAACAGGCGCTACCTGCGCGACCGGTGTGATGCGCTCGTACTTGACGCCCGGATAAAAGCCGCTGATAGTGCTTAAGTGGTGACTCTGATGGCTGTAGTTGTTTGTATAGCCTGCGGTAGCCGAGCCCGTGGCATTTGCGTAAGCACGCGACTCGGTGCCGTTAAGACGCTGATTTAGCTCGTTCTGTCCATCTTTGCGCTTGCGGCCGATAAGAGATAACAGCTCAAAAGGACGACCAAGTTTTTCTCCCAGCGGCATCACAAGCAGCGTTTAATGTAGCGGTAGTGGTCTTCGCTTAGGTCTTATTGCTGTTTCCTCTTTGGATGGTACTGGCGTTCTGCAGGCTTCCAGTGGCTAGTGTCTGAAAAAGCAGCAACGCGCAAAATATTTACGTACAGTATTTTTTTAAGTAAAGGTTTTATTATTGACTGGATTTATCATTACCAAACCCTACTGGTCCTTAATAGTTTCAATGTTGACGCCCGCCTCTTGCGTCTCGTTCACCGGGACATCCTCCCTGTCTCTGAGTATTAAACCAATAAGATCGGTAAAATATGACATAATAAATATAGCATAATGTCTTTCAAGCAATAAAAGAAAGCATTACGCTGTTGTTCGTATAAAAGTACAATTATCCTGTACGCTTACAGCAAAACTTCTAAGGAAAGAGTGCCAGATGCTAACAGAAAAAAGACATATGATGTTGCGATTAATTGCATTTTAGACTGGCTTTTGACTGCACAAAAAAATCTGTGCTCGATCAGAAAAAGGTTGCAGCAATTGTACGAATTGCACGAGGACTATTCCGTATCTTCCGTTTCTAGTTGACAGTATCACAGGTATATTGTCGCTGCAATCTTCCTCGCCTCTTACATGTATTTATAATCAGAGACTAATCCGACGACGATATGCCGTGCGAAGCCAAGCCTGTCAACAATTTATTTCCTGTGAGTACTCCTTAGATTAAGTGCCTCCTTTTGTCATACCGAAGTCGCAAAATTCATTACTAGGAATATTTATCAAGTCGCTTTACGAAACAAACCGGGCACAATACTGAGTGCACTCCAAATGAAAATACTTCCGCTCTTACGAAAATACATGCTTCTTATACGTCAGCTACCAGAGCGCTATTAAAAACGTCGTTCAGTTACCTGTCTCGTCATGATCTGATGGCGATCTGGTGACGCAAATCATTTATTGCAGACCGCTTGATGTGCATGGGAACTGAATAGATACTCTGGCACGATTTGTCGACAAGCGCTGAATCAGATATTACTTTGCTTCTGAAAATACAAATTCAGACATACTAGATACAAAAAATAGTAGAACTTCTGAAGCTGGTACAATATGTAGATATTATAAACCTCGAAGGAAAAAGAAGTAGTGCGAGGATCACTTACAGAATTTACAAGTGCTCCAACAGAACTTTGGCAGCGCAGATTACTTCTTCTCTCCATATGTATTTCTTATTATATTGACGTGAGAAACGCATGTCGATTGTATATTTTGCTCGGAACCAATGTAGTAGTGGATAATCGTTGAGTAAAGAGAATGTCAGGAGTACGAGATATATCTTGCCTTCCTAGGCAGAGCAACAAGCAAGCGTACTGCGTAACTTTATAAACATCAGCGGCATGCTACCGCTATTTTACAGGAGGAAAAGAAATTAAAAACTTCTGGTTCAATACATGGTGTTGCAGCAATGATAGTATCTGAATTATATTCAGTTAATTTTGCTGTCACATAGCATCCATGTCAGGACTGATGTCTTAGAATAAAATCGGATGATTGTATTCTCCTTCCCTTTCTTAGACCGTGTAATAGAAGAAGCAAGAAAGGTGACTGATAGGTAGTAGTGGAACGGGGTACTGCTGTTTAGGGCATCCCGAGTACCCATCTGAATGCCTTATTCAGGGTAGCAGAAGCGGACGACGAGACACAGACGATACGCTCCATCCGCTATCGGAACGCTAAAAATCAGATGAGGTTTTTGAGTGTCCATTCTCGAAGTTGGCACGTAGATGGTGCGTAAATGGATCCAGCTTGTGGGGGAAGATGGGAACACGCTGACGTCGACGTCTTCCGTTGCCGTGGATGTTGAGGATGTGGATATGCTGCTAGTGGCAGTAAAAGAGGAGTACAAGACAGTCATCTTGTAGGGGTTGCTGTATCCGATCTCACAGTGTTCGAGAACAGCGTGCAAAACAATCTCTGACGCCAGGCTCATCAATTGAAGCATTTGGGGCATCAGAGAATGTAGCACTCGTTGTGTTTGTTCCTGATGCCGACGATGGAGATATCTGTCTTTTGCGCACATTTCTAATCGCGAACTCGTTTTAGTGAGGGCAGTCACTTCATCAGAGTACAGCCATTTATCTCTAATTTCCGCAGTAATTTTTGCCGTCATCAAGATCTTCGGAAAGGACATCAAAAGACGATAAAGGATTTTTAAGTACTGGCGCTCACGTGCGGGTATTATTTGATTGGCATTCAGTACTTACAGCGATGAACGCAATTTCGGACGTTTTGAAAAAGAAGAAGCACAAACGCTTTTATATGGTGGCCATTTTCGTGGTAGCCGTCAATTCATACCCCAATTTAATAGTCAAATTAATATTAGAATACATTTTTTTTGCAAAGAGCAATTAATACCATTAGCTAATTATAAGCGTGAACGGTACGCCACTTGCCGTTCGGCTTCCGAACACAAAACGAACGTGGGTGTCGAATGGGAAGTTTTGCTCTCACGCTTTATTCCTGCCTCGTGCTTCGCACGGAAAAGGCGTCAATGACGTTGCACTACACCTTGGGCAGGGGCCAATGGTGTGTTGCGCAATATTCGGTTTTCGGAACCAGTCGATCTCATGTCGCACGCCTCGGTCCGGAGGTAGGATCGACAGTGGGTCCTTGGAGACGACATCTTGAAACTTCTTTACTAAAGATTTGTACGGATCCGAGGTTTTTTCAGGATCGAAGATCTTCTTTGTGCATTCAGCACCCTCTCGGTGTGGAACAGGACAGCTTCATCCAAAAGCGAAGGACATTTCGGCCACCTCAAGAGGAGCATCCACCGCGGAAATAGCCTCGAGGGTGACGTCGCCGTCTTCCTCTCCCGTTACACCGTTGACGACGGTTTATAGCTGTGTGCTGTAGTTTACGCTAGACACACTCTTGGTAAGGGTCGACGACCAGCGTCTTGCAGAAATATATGGCAACGCCGTCTCCTCTCTATCGATGTTTCACGTCTTCTCGAGACCATTGGAACACGCCTTCAGCGTCGTCCAGTGTTTCCACTCCCTGCTCCAACGGAGCCTTGATGTTATTAACAACATCCGACGAAGATCTGCTATTTCTGCAGTCTTCATCTAGTGGATAACGTGCCACTCCACGCTCATCAGAAGGGCCTTGCCTCATACCTCGTCCGCCCATGCCCACTCTTGACATGCAGCAACTGCTTCGAAACGTGAGCAGTGCTCGGTAGACTGCGTGCCACTTCACGCGCATCACTAGGGCCTCGCCTCTGATGCTTTGGACGTCGTCCGACCATGCCACTCTTCTCGAGGCTGTGCCCTGCTGACCTCTACCTATCTGAAGCGTAACAAAATCCAGTTTATTTCCAGTAGGGCGCCCCGAGCCTACTGGGTATTGTCGTTTCCCCGCGACAAACCAGAAGACTGGTAAGCAGCGAGACGTCGGTTCGATGAACCTTTATGCACCTTGCGCAGGGAACAATCAGTCCGAAGATGTCGAGTGTCTCCACAGGCAAAATACCGTCGGCTTTCGAACGCTGCTCGGCAGCTCGGAGCTCTACCTTCACTTTCTCAGTATTGCTGAGATCCATTGGCTCAGGCTTGCTCGACGACCTTTGAGGGTGTGCATATAAACCATGTCGTGCCGACTTAAAGCTGAACTCAATGCCACATTTACCACTTATTCAAAGGGAGAGATTTACATGAACCCTTGTATAAAGCGTTTGTATTACTCAAGTTAGTGTAATCACACAGTGGTGTGGTTACACCGTAACTAGAAGCCACCACGTGGCTGAATTGCCAGTAGTAAATTACTATATTTCTTAGGTTTCGCTATATTCATTAGGTATTACTATATAAATGAAAAAAACCTAGGGTGCCGCAAATAAAATTGAAATGTACAGTTGACATCTTAAACGAAAGAGTTAAATAGCCTTGCATTATGGTTGTAGTTACTTTTGGCGATAGCGAATTGCGATCCGCTACACTCGAACTGGTTCATGTGTAGACCGTAAATTAGGTAGTCTTAGCTTAGCTTTCTCTAAGCAAAGAGCTACGGCAGCTTCGGTGCATTTGGTTGCACTCATGACTGATCCTCTGTGAGGATGGAGAAATTCTCCTATTTGCCCCAGAGCATGCGGGACAGGCTTCAGTTGAAAGTTTGTCTATATTAATGTGTATAGACGTAGTGACTTCTCAATTTTACCTAGCTGTATATACTATACTGTATCAACTCTAATATACAAATTAGTATTGAACTGTACCGTGCAAATTCGAACATGAATTCTGGCTCAGTGGTTAGGGTGTGCTGGCTCCAAGCTGTTGAGTGAGGGTTCGAGTCCCGTTACGGTTAAAGTTAGGAAGC